GCATAAACACATTTCATTACACCAAATACACAAAATAATGTTCTTTTTAGCAACATCATATGACCCCTTTAAGCTAAGAGTAAGGGCGGGGTTGACCTCGTTGCTATGGATGATGTCAGCATGCTTACTAACTATGCACACAGTGATTGGCTGATAGTCTCTGTCAGAGATTTATACATAGAAATATTGAAGAGCGCAATAGTATGTTGCCATATTCAAATAAAGGTTTAAAAATAAAACTGCTAATTGCCACATTCAAATAAAGATTTTAAAATGCAGGCTAAGTGTCACTAATTAAACAAGTATATATGTTCAGCTAATTGTCAGCCTCTTTACATGTATGATTCTCAAAAACACTTAGTGAATATGCATATCAACAGCCTTTTAATTAACAGAGTAGAATAATCATGGCTGATAGTAAGACATGCAAACGTAAAAGAAAACCAAACTGGATGCAAGAATAGCTGTTACTTCTTGCCCAACTGGTTAATGAAAACAAGGATATAATCAAAGGAAAATTTGGAGTTGGGATAACCTCCAAAATCAAAGGTGATACCTTTTTAAAAGCTCATTATCGTCAAACATTTCTAAAATGTTTATATTCTGAGGCAGATTGCTGGCAACAGCCATTTTAGGATAGTTTGTGGCTTGGTCTTAGTGACTTAGTAGTCCTCTTCACTACTCCTAACGTTTGACAGATTTAGGAGCTAGTTTTAGTGCTAAAATGCTTTGTGAAATACTTTTAGATCAAAAATTTATTTTGATTTTTTCCTAAATCGGTGAGTTATGAGCTACTTTTAGCCTTAAGATGTTTGCGAATACGGGCCCAAGCCTATATCTCAAAAATTAAGCATGTCATAATCACAAAATTAGTAAGATTTTTATAAAAATAAAAATAAAAATAAAAGGTTCACAATGTAGCCTAATAAGCCTAATTTTCTTCTAATAAAACTATGATTGTTTTGTGCTCAAATGTATTATATTGAAAGATTATTATTATTATAAACATAATAATAATTGTTTTAAATTATGTGCTGGTATTACATTATAACCTGTTATTACATTATAAGTTGCCCCAGTGTGTTCATAATGTAATAAATTTCTCAAACAATAACCTATTACATTATGTGAAAAATTGTTATTACATTTAAAAATTATATCATTACATTATGAGCTCAAGATTTTATTAAGTTTTGAGAAAATTATTACATTATGAACATTTTATTACAATCATAATGTAATACTTATTACATTATGTGCAATTTTTACATTATGTGCAGTTATTACATTATGAGTTGCTACACCCGTCCATGCAATGAATGCACGTTAAATGAGCAGGGTTTTTTAGAACATTAAAACTGCTCAGGGTATTTCAGTGGTAGGCTATGATACATACTCATGTATTAAAATCCTCGTTAACTCGCAAACTCCCTGTGATAGTGCGCAAATATTTCTGTCCGTTTTCACTCGTTGTCAGCCTCTGCTTTTCTGCAACAGACTGAAGCCTCCGCGTGAATTCAGCGCGCCTTTCTTTCAGCTAAAAAAATAAAAATGCTGCAATTTTCTGGTGTTATTTTATGATTGTTGGGACAGTATCCAGCTGTATCTTAAACTTCTCAAAATACCGAAGTCCGCTTCAGATTGGTTTTAATCACTGCACAAAAAATTAACGCAATCTTTATCTAATTCTGATTGGGTGGGCAAGACAGTCATTTTGGGTGGGCTCAGCTCACCCCTGCCCATGCCTGGAGCCGCTGGAACTAGCATGAACTTTTAGGGGAATTTCATTGGTCAATAAGACTTCAAACTGACACCTACTGGTGTGGATGCAATCTAACACAAAAACAAACAATTGGTTAACAATGCAATATGCAGTTATTGAAACACCACATTTGCAATTGTGTTAGAGCAGATAATTAGTTAAAGTGAGTAGAATTTGAATGGTCATGTGCTCCCAACATGGCAGTCACCATGAAGAGGGAACACCCTAAAGTAGAATAAAGTAGCTTTTGTAATCAACGCATATGACTCGAATTACACTTTATCAAAAGTACTATTCATTTCATTTTGGGAAAAATTGTTAAAGTGGTTTAGAGCACCGCTAAGCCATTTACACCTTTTAGCTGTTCTTCAGCACATGACTTTCTCATGGATAGGGTTAGGGTTAGGGTTATCCAGGCCTATGCAAATGAGAAAAGGCCAATGCAAGAACATGAACGCAAACCCTTCTAGCGGTGTATGTTTGATTTCACACATCGTTTAAATTTTGGTGAAGTGTTAGCATATTAGCATTATCGTAAACTACTTCTATGGCAATTTTTTCAATTTCAGGTCATGGAGATGACTAGTAAAAGTTAGTGTAGTTAGTTTACCCAAAAATGAAAACACAGTTATTCACTTTCATGATGTCCTAAGTCTGTATGTTTCATCTGCAGTATGCAAAACAAAAGAAGGTATTTTGAAGAATGTTGGTAACAAAACTCTTCTGGTTACCATTGTCTTCCATTTTATGGACATTTCTCAAAATATCTTTATATTCCACAGAAAAAAAAGAAAGTCACAGGTTTGGAATGGCATGAGAAAAATTCCTTTTTAGGTTAAATATTCCTTTAAAGTTGGCATGTTTACTTCTAGCCACCTCAATAACGATACGTTTGCCTCCTTTAGTACTAAGGTTTAGCACAACAAGTATGTACAAACAGAAGACATTATCTGTTACAGCATTAAAGTAAATTAGTAAACAATAAGTTTTCCCTTCTTTCACACTATCGTTTTTTTTTTTCTCAGGCTCTTCTGACTAATCATGGCTGACTGGAGTCTACTTGGGAACTTTCTAGAAGAAGTCCAGGAACATTCCACCTCGGTGGGAAAGGTGTGGCTCACCATTCTTTTCATCTTCCGGATCCTGGTCCTGGGCACGGCCGCCGAGTCCTCGTGGGGCGACGAGCAGGAAGACTTCACCTGTGACACTGAGCAGCCCGGTTGTGAGAACGTTTGTTACGATCGAGCCTTTCCCATCGCGCATATCCGCTTCTGGGTGCTCCAGATTGTATTTGTGTCCACACCTTCTCTCATCTACATGGGACACGCGATGCACAGTGTCCGCAGAGAGGAGAAGAGGAGGAAAGAGCAGGAAGAAGAAGAAGGAGCGCAAAGAGACAGGGATGGAGAGAAGTACCCAGACGAAGACAAGAACTGTGGGAAGGAGGACGAAGGTGGAGGTGGGAAGGTGCAACTGAAGGGGGCTTTGCTACAAACATACGTACTAAGCATCCTCATCCGCTCTGTAATGGAAGTGATCTTCATCATAGTCCAGTACATGATCTATGGCGTCTTCCTTAATGCGCTCTACGTATGTAAGGCTTCTCCGTGTCCGCATCCAGTCAACTGCTACATCTCGAGACCTACGGAGAAGAACGTGTTTATTGTGTTTATGCTGGCGGTAGCGGCTGTATCACTGTTGTTAAGTGTCGTAGAACTGTATCATTTGGCGTGGAAGCAGTTTAAGGGTTGTTTGCAAGGATATAAGGCTTCCAAACAGCGACAGAATACACCATCCACCGTGGCTGCAGTCTCACCAAACCGAGCTTGCACTCCACCTCCCGACTTCAACCAGTGCCTGACATCTCCACCATCTTCCCCTACCATACAGACACACGGAAACCCACTTTTACACCCAACCTGCCCGCCTTTTCACGACCGGCTGGCGCACCAGCAAAACTCGGTTAACATGGTCACTGAACGCCATCGAGGTCAAGACTACCTAGGGGTCAACTTCTTCAGCTTCTCACATACACTTACAGAGACGCCCAACTCATGTGCCTCGCCTTCGTTTCTAAACAGTGATTTTGTTGAGGACAAGCGAAGGTTTAGCAAGAGCAGCGGGACCAGCAGCCGCATGAGACCGGATGACCTTGCAGTATAGCACTGACCGCTCGCATATGGAAAAGGGTCGTCTAGTGTGACTAGTCATAAATCTGCGACATGATTTTGCACTTGACCTAACATATAGACTGAGCCAGAATATCGGTTCACACATTAGCACAGATGCATAAATGTGAGTGAGTGATGCATAAAGAAATCCATTCAACTTAAAAAAAAAAAAAAAAAAGTCAACATGAAATAAAGACATGTTATACTTAAATGCTTATATTTATAATCTTTCATCAATATTTAGAAACTTGCTCAACCTCTGAAACGCCTTTTGTCACTTTGCATTTGGACTAATGCATTGGAAACAAAATCAAGCCAGCTGGAATACACCATATTACACCAGTTTCACTGTAATAATGCACTATAATATACTGTTGCACCATAATGCACTGATGAGATGTTTTTTCCTCCTTATTGGTAAATGAGATGTTTATATTTGCTGATCTTAGCAGTATTTAAATATTCTGGACCGCTGATAAGAAAATGAACGTTTCTTTCTTCGTCAAACGCATTTCTCAAATGGAAAATGGACGTTGAGCTAACCATTTGAAATGGACATTTTGCATTTTGAACACTTGCTGTGACTTCGCAACCTTTTTGATTGCGTAAAAACGACAGGACAATGGAGAGAGACAAATGCGATGTGAAATACTATTGCAAAAAAATAGTACTGTACTATTAAAACATTACTGTAAATCCAGGGACTGTCATAACAGGCCAGCTCTGAAGAAACAGTTGCATCTAATTTGATAAAAACCAAATCATCCTGACAGTGCAAGAGTGATTTAAACTGTGAAACTCTGGGGTGAAGAGCTCTTGTACTGAGCCCAATTATGTATACTTTGCCTGAAAATATGAAAGAAAAAAGGAATGTAAAACAATGTTGTTTTAACCTTTGCAGTCATATTTCCAATTCTATTTGTAAAAACAGATGTGCTTGTTCTTAATTAATTTTATGTATCAGATTTTTTTAAATGTTATTAATGCATACTGCACTAAAGATAAAATAAAACACTAAAAATGTCAGCATACATCTATACACACACACACACACACACACAAAACCCCCTACCACTTTAATGTCAAATCTAACCAATCATGTCACCGCTACCGCTATATGGCGCAAATACCATGCTAGCCAGTAGATTTAAACATGCACTCAACAGAATGCGCTGTGTAAGCTAATAGGTCATGTGTTGTTATCCTGACACTGAAGTGCTTTACATTTTGTGCTGGTGGATAAATAGGGACCAAATAAGTGAACTAGTCTCCTTGCAGCAGCTGCTAAATCTCAGCTAACCTCAGCTAAAATTAGCCCTGCAATGGAAAGCACTCTCAACCATCAGTTCAAGAGCAACATGTGCTGGATCATTATTGCACCACAGCAAACATACATTTTAAAAGAACTTGCTAAAAGACACTGAGATTGGAATAGGACTGGTCCACTTCCAGGAGAATCAAGCCATGGTCAGCCAAGCATGAATTCACCACATAAACAAGTGAACAACTAGCCTCAAAGACTGTAAGTGTAAGTGAAATATACATAACTTAAAGTTGCTCATATCGGAAGTGAGATAATACACGCTGAGATATGCCATTTTTAATGTACTTTGCCTGTACCTGTAATTCTGCCACATGCATAAGCAGGCTATATAGAATCTGTAAACGTAATTTTTAACATTTTACATGTGTGACCCTGGACCACAAAACCAGTCGTAAGGGTCAATTTTTCGAAATTGAGATTTATACATCATCTGAAAGCTGAATACATAAGCTGTATGGTTGATGCATGGTTTGTTAGGATAGGACAATATTTGGCCAAGATACAACTATTTGAAAATCTGGAATCTGAGGGTGCAAAAAAAAAAAAAGAAAAAGAAAAATATTGAGAAAATCGCCTTTAAAGTTGTCCAGATGAAGTTATTAGCAATGCATATTACTAATCAAAAATTAAGTTTGAATATATTTACAGTAGGAAATGCTACAAATATACCCCAGCGACTTAAGACTGGTTTTGTGGTCCAGGGTCACATTTAATAATATTTTTTTACTAATTTGATTGTGCTTTAAATTACCAATAAAAGTGTAGTTCGAAGCTTTTCCATAAAAATAACAAAAATAGAAATCACAAAATGGAGATTCTCCATAAATCCAAAGTACTCACATATTTGTGATTTACCTGATGGGTTTATGCAAAGCATCTTGCAATACAGGTAAAATGCATTGCTCAAAAATGCCCAGGAGTGATCACCTTGTGGAATTTACATTATAACATTCTAGTACCAAATTATATCTTTAAAAATTTGATACATCACCCCTAAACCGGATTTAATATGTTACATCACCAACTCGATCATATAAATAATAACACTCCAAATAATCATATGTCTTGTTGGCTTTGTGCAACTGGTAGCCAAAACATTTTTTACAAGGAAAACATAACCTGCCACTAGGGGGCAGAGGAAGACCATTAGCAGCCATGAGATACACACAAAGGCATTGACACGCTTTATACCAAACAATATATTTTATTTGTCGTCCAACACCACAGCCCAGCCTTAGGAAGTGGTTCAGTACCAAATTCAATGGAGTTACACATGACGAGCATCAACACAGGAGGGGCAGGGACAAGAGGAAACCTATTAGCTTTTTTTCTGTTTTTGTTTTAATAATCATTTGTTTTCTACAAAAAAAGAAAGAAAAAGCCCACCCTCCAGTAGCTCAGATGTTGTCAGCGCTGCACTGTATAGCTGTACACAGCCAAGTAATAAAAAAAAAAAAAACTATCTTTTCAATGTATTCTGCAGTGGTGGCAAACAGCAACAGCCTGACTGCAGTCCTTGTCGGACAGACACGGATATGCAGACAGCCTGAGCGTCACTGCAGAACTGAGTGCTGCTGGTTTATGGGGTTCAAAAATGCCCCTCCACAGTCACCCTCACCTGTACCCAGACCAGCTTACAGAAGTTTCTAAAACAGGAACGGGAGACCACACTGCATACATCTGATTACTGCTCCTACTGACTGTCAACGTGTTTTTCTCTACAATTAAAAAAAAGGAGAAAAGAAAACACTTTATTCTTTACAGTTAATTCTTGTTTGTGCTTTTTTAATAATACTATGATCTGTATGAGGTCTTAGTTTGGTTTTATCATACACTGGAGTAGCAAAGAAAATTACATTTAAAATATTCTGTACGCCCCACAGTACACAGTATTTTGTGGTGCCGTTGTGTCACCTACTGTCCACAAACAACCACCTCAATCCCCCCTTTACAAATTAAGATGAAAAAAAAAAAAACTATAGAAATCACTGGTAGAATCCCTTTAACAACACAAGTACAGTACACACATACAAAGAGCATTTCCTGTTTGGAGGGAAGTGATGCGATGATGTAAACATATAGCCAAGACGGTGCACCTTGTGACAAAATGTTCCTTGACTTTTCCATTTTCATGTCTATTCTTTCAGTTCTTGGACTTTTTTTCCCCCAACAATCTTTCCTGGTTTCCAACTATGAATAAAAGTACAATGAAGCCCCTAAACGTTCATACTTGGTTTGCTGTAGACTTTATATGTGGCATCTTGTCCACAATGTCAAACAAATATCTTCGACACGAGTCGGTCTTGTAAATTCCATATACATTCCCAAGTTATCAAAAAAAAGTCCCTTCCAAACGGTGCCGGACCTGAGCCCAACTTTGAGGAAAGCACAATTAGCTTCTCACACTTCCACCTGCTAAATGACATTACCATTGTAGAAGATTCCCTGTGAACACATCCATGTGTATGTGATGGATACCCATCACTTTGTAAGCTATAAACCTTGTTCTAACCAGGTGTCAGGGTGTGTATGTGCACAGAAAATGTCCCGGTTTCCACACGTATCTGCTTGACAACACAGAGTTTCTTTTTGTCTTTCATTACGAAGGTTTTTATTTCACAGGTTACACAGTTTCCCGACTGTTCATAACTGTAGTGGAGGCTCAAAACATTATATTCCCAGGGTTTCCTGGGCCAGGGTTAAATCCCATGCCAATGTCTGTTGCCATTCCTCGAGGCCTCATCTGAGAGGGCATCATCATAGTCTGTTGAGGACCGCTCATCCCTTGTAGTGACATCATCATGTTAGGAGAGCCCACAGGGCCAGGGTGGTTGTACATCGGCCGTTCCTTTCCTTGCATCATTCCAGGGCCTCCCATCATTCCTGGCTGCTGGCCAGGAGACAACATTCTGTGCTGTGGCCCCATCATACCCTGACCCATGAAACCTGGGGGTCTCATGGGATTATGGCCTGGATTACCCATGGGCATGTCCTGTGGTCCCATATGTCCAGGGCCAGGAGGACCACCCATTCCCTGCATGGGGAGGCCCATCCTTGGATTGCCCTCACCCATCATCCCCTGCATTTGGGGAAAGCCAGGTGGGCCAGACAGGTGTGGTGGCTTCCCACCAGGGGCGTCTCCACCACGAGGGAAGTAGGACAGAGTCTGGCTAGGCTTCTCAGATGGGATAATTCGAGAGAGGTCAAACTCGGGGATACCTGACGCACCTGGTCGCATTACCTCATGTAGATCCGAGTCATTGAAGACACCCGGCATGTTATTAAACTCCTGGCCTCCTGGAGTGTTAGGTTTACACATACCTGGCTCACCACCAGGTCCATGAGGCATATTGCCCATCCTGCCCAGCGGGCCCCCTTCTCCCTGAAAACCCATCCCATGAGGGAAGCCACCCTGGTGCCCGGGACCATTGTGAGGAAAGGGGACCTGCTGTGGAGGTGACTGTCCTGGAGGGAAGCCGTGTCCTCGGTGAGGAAGACCCATACGCCCCTGTGGCATCATCTGGTTGTTGCCCATGCCAGGGTCTTGGGAGACTGGGTTCATCATCATACCATGAGGCATCATGCCTGGACCCATAGGCCCGGAGTGAGGAGGCATATTGGGGCCCATGGGATTGGGCGAGGGCATCTGGTTTGGCATGCCATGCGAAAGTGGCTGGGAGCCCATAGTGTTCATCCCCATTGGGCTGAGGGAAGGCATGGGGCCAGAAGAGTTGGGTGTCATCATTCGAGGATGACCTGGGTGATGGTTCACACCCATACCTACAAAGAGAACCAAAAGATTTTGATTTAGTGGAAAAGACCTCCAGAAAATGCCACCATAACCAAAACCTACTGTATTTTCGTTAACTCTTATAGACATTACCGGGCATGCTGTTGTTCATAGATAACAGGTTTGGCGATCGAGCAGGCGGCGAGTCATCATCAGAGCTAGCCACAGTTTTGATTGCATCATGGTAGAGGGGCGTAGAACTGGGCATTGCAAACTTGGACATGCGGGACATCATGATGGAAAGAGGATTTTGGGATAACGTTGGCTCTGGGGGCATTGTGTAGGGGCTGCTGGATGGAAGACTTCCTGGCACATTCATGCCACCTGGCTGACTGGAGGAACTACCGGAGGGAGGAGCTGATGGAGGAGGATTACCACCTGAGAACAGAAGAGGACAGAGGAGGTCAAGAGAAGAGGGGAGATGTAGGATGATGGAAGAAAAGCTTTTACCAATTACCTTTTATTTGACACCTCTTAGGTCAATAGCTGCTACAAAAACATTACTAAAAAGGTCCTGCTGTAACAGTATAATTAGCAGGAATAATTGAATAAATGAAAACAAAGTGCCACTAAATATATTCTTGGACCATGTTCTCAAAATCATTGTGAGCTAAGCTTATCATAGAGACCATTGGTGGAAATGGAGCCCTGGTTATTTTGATGGTGGAGTACAATTAACTTTTCAACTATCTGTCAACTAACTGTCATTAGAGTATTAGTAGACTGTCATGGTTAGGGTTAATAGAATAAGTTGTACTTGCAAAATTACTTATAGTCAGTAGATTGTCTGTTCAACATTCCAATGTTGGGCAACCAATAAAATGTGTCAGCAGCTATTAAGCACTAATACTCTAATGACTGGTGATTGACGTGTA